GAGCAAGGGAGACGAATACAACGCAGGAGATCAGGACCAGGTAGGCATCGTCTTATGCGCCCTCGGGGAAGCTATCTCCGATTTTCTCAAGCCACAGGTTCAGTATTCACTAGACTCTGAAGCCCGATCGGCAATAGCGAAAGTCAATGAAGGGGCAAAGATTTTAGCAGATCTTTTTTACCGCTTGTCATTGTCGAGAAGAGCGCAAATTAAACCTGTCTTTAATCCTCTGGCCAAGACAACAGTAGACGCTATCCCGGCGGATAGTTTGCTATTTGGCACCTCGTTTGGCGAGGAAATCAAGAAGGCGTCAGCCATGGAGAAATCATCAAAGGATATCGTTAAGACGCCTTTGGTAGTATCCAAGAAGGTGTTGCAGCCAATTAAACAACCAACTCAGGTAGTTCCCCCCATGGTGGGAAACGCCCGCGCCCCTGCACCAAGAACAGGACCAGCGAGGAGGGCAGAGGCGCCGAGCAGCAAACGCGGATCATCTCACCGCTCCAGGGCACCTATCATGGAGATTTCGCGATTCCGATCGGAATTGCGAGATTCCGACTGGCGAGTTTCCGACCGCGATTCCGTTCATACGACTTTGCTATCATGGATCCCAAGCGGAATCGGCTTTCCGACCATTTCTGTCGATTCGAAATGAACATAAACGAAACGAGAGGAACGGGCGAAATGGACTTTTGCGACCAATAACAATGCAAGTCTAGAAGAAAAATAACTAAATTCAAAATGTCGGATACACCGTGAAAAGCATAGTAAGTAACAGTGAGCAGTAAGAAATATGTAAGAATTTCTTAATAATTTTTAAATATTTGTTAAATTATTGTCCGAAATGGAAAAATGCAAAATAAAGTAAATAACATACATGAAAGTGTATGTTATTTACTTTATTTTGCATTTTAATAACTAATCAAGTCAGTCTTATGATTGTTCTTTGAGCATTATTTTGTATTTAATAGGTTATAGGTTAAAGTCCGAAAAGTAATCGACGTGTAATCATATATCTAAAATAAATTATTTAAATACATATAGATATATTATTCCAACATCCAATCTCGATCATAAGTGGTATTTTTCTCTTACAGCTAGTTGATTTTTTCTTATCTATTGTTTATACATATTTAATATTTTTGTGTAGATATAGATATTGTGTAGATACAAGCAGCAGCAGCAGCAGCAACCCTCAACAGCACCTCCAAAAACTTCTATCCAACTTAACCTCGCCTTATTTTATTTTTACTAAATTTGTTAAAGTACCACGCGGAGTGGTAGAAAATTACATTTTGCTTCCAATCGGAGGTCTTCACCGACAACAAAATTTTTACAAAAAAAAGATTTTGACAATACTACTTGATTCGTCATATTGTGTTTACAAAGATCGAGAAGCAGGAATGGAATCCTACGTCTAGTAAAGTAAGTATCATCGCGATTTATTAAGTTCTTTTCGAAACTCTTACAAAATTTGGTATTTCTCGTAATTTACTTATTTCCAATCTTATTATTGTAATACAACCATTTTACAAACTAGAGTAACGAAGAAGCCTTAATCTGTCTGTACTGATTAAGGCCCACCTTCACAATATATGATTACCTACAGATTAAAGATTATCAAGAAATTCATGAATAAATTTCTTGGTAAATCTTTATACTCGACAAATTATTTTAGAATAATTTCATATTTAAAATATTCTGATCGTGCAGCATTTGCTATTGCTATATTAGAAATAGTACATATAATACTACATATAATGCATATAATTGCATATATATATTATGTAATATATATTATATATACTATTTGTAATATATATGTATCTGCATATATGTATATTATATATAATATAGTAATAGCAATACTCTTTACTTATTAATATTATTAATTATGCCATATATAAACAAATTATCATTTTCTTAATCATAGCAAAGGAAAAAAACTTCTTTGGAACAACGTGAAATACTGATACAATTTATGGAAGAACATCCTGATTTAGCCCAAAATAGGATACAAGGTCTTGAGGCACGAAAACAAGCAGCGCATTTGTGGAAGCAGCTAGCAAATGAATTGAATAGTTGTGGCCATGGAGCTACAAAGTCAACAGAGAAATGGATGAAGGTATACTTCAATAGAATCATGTATTGCTCCCCTTAGGGTTTCAATTTCTTTTGTAAAAAATATTTAGACATTTGTTTTCCATTTATGTACTTTGTAGTCATGGAGAGACTGGCGTTTGGATGTAAAATCTAAAGCATCCAAATTAAGAAATTATCAGAAAGGAACAGGAGGAGGAGGTCCATCACCAGCATCTTTACAAGAAACAGAAAAGAGATTAATTGCTTTGATGGGGGTAGAATCAGTAATTGGGCACTTAAGCGTAACAGATCCTGCAGAGGTTTGTAGTACATTAAATTTTGCTTTTAATAACTTAATAATTTTTTACATTTTACTATTAATGACACAAAAGTAACTATCCAATTGGCTACATCATGAATTGACTAATTTAATATAAAATATTATCATTGATAGTAGCGTTAAAGTGAATAGGAGCATGTGACGCAAACAATCTTGAATAGATATGTTATCAGGATGTAGGCTGATGGGACCGTTCCCTACATTTTACATTTTTATATACTTATTACTGTCTTACTACTCTTAATTTTATTCTTTTATTATTACCTATTTTTTCTTCTTTCATTATTGGATTTAGCCTGAAAACTGGGCTGAGCAAACTGTAATGTCAATTACACCATCCACAATTGTATCTCATAATTCAGATATTCCACAACAACATACTTCACAGACAATTACATTTTCATTACTTGACACACACTCATCTACTCTACTTCCTCAACAAGAGAACAGACAATATCCACAGATAAGATCTATAAAAAACCACAGCCACCGATAACATTTACAAACAGACAACATCCACAAACAATATCCACAGATAACAGACAATATTACAGACAACATACAATACAGACAACATACTCCAACATATTCCACAAACAACATCTACAGCTTTATCACCTTACACATACTCACCTACTCATCTCTCTCAACAAGAAAACACTATTTCACAACATACTCCACAAACAATATTCACACACTCATCCCCTCAAGCAACATTGATGCATTCACCTCCATCCTGCGAACCAATATCCGAACAATCCCAAAGAAAGCGCCCAAAAAAACAAAAGACTTCAGATATTCGTGGTAAGATAGTCAAAGTAAAGTGTAGTTAATGGCTGTTCTACAATGTGATTTTTGTTTCCCGTTTCTTGTTGTTTGTCTCTTGCCTTCTTGATCAAAAAGGCAAGACAAACAGAAACAAACAGTAAGAAACAGGAATCAAAAAGCACATTGAAAGTGAAAAATATGTTTATAACTTTTTCAAATATAATTATAAGTAAAATTTAATTTTTATACATATGCTTTTACAATTATGGTTTTTTCAGATATCGATATACAAATATTACATGAAATGCAGACTCAAACAGAAATACTTAAAAAATTGACAGATGCTGTTATAGATATTGCAGCTACTTTTAAACATTATATGAATGTAGAGGTGGTATGTATGATAATAATTAATATTATAATAAATTGTATATAATTTTTGAAATACAATCTTATTTACAGGTATCGTATGCAAATGAAAATGACGAAGAAGACGGGAATTAGAACAATAATGCCTTTGTTGCTATGTTAATTGCTGCATTTTTAAAAATTAGAAACAGAAAATAGAATTCTACTGAAACAGACTCGAGCTATATTTCTTTATAATGGAATCTCTTCCTCAATTTTTGTTCTTTTTTATCTATAATCCCACTACACAATTGGTTTTGCACCCGATGATATATTAAGTAAAAATAATCTTGCATTTTTCATTCGTTTTCTTACTCTGTAACGTTGTATGGACATACGGTGAGAAAAACAGAATTTTAATTTAAAAAGGGAGGTTCCAGAATAGTGGCGGCAAATATAAATATATAATAAAGCTTTACTAATTTGTTGACAACAATGAACTGTATTATTTTTCTACAGACAATTTATAGGGCAGATGTGATATTTCAATTAATTAGATAAAAAGATTATTAAAAAGATTACATTTCATCAATTTTCAATAAGCGAAAATTTGTCGCGTTGCATTTCAAACTGTGAAAGGAAAAAAAAGTATTGCGCTGTTTTTTTTACGTACGTAAAATTACTAAAATTACACATACGTGTACGAGAATGTGTCATATGTATACGAATGTAAGTGAACACTTTGGAGTGAACATATATGCTATTAGGTAATGTATACTCTGCATAATTGGGGTACATATTTACAATAAATAGCACTTTCGTGTGTACATGTATGTAGATTATTTGATTTATCCTTTTGGTTTCCAACGAACGAGCTTCTTACTAAATTAAATTAAATTGAGATATTTGAGTGAGATTAGATGATAGATATCTCCAAGCTGCGTACATTTGGAAATTAGTTTGTACTAGTTATCCTTTCTTTTCATTCGTCAGTCTTGAATATTACGAATACTGCACATACTTATCTATTGATATACAATGTTGTCAAAATTTTGTAAACTTATTTTTTACTCGGTCGTTGACTTGATTTGAAATTGTTATATTTTGAGATATGTGTCTTCGTGTTTTGGCATTGATTTAAATCGATATATCAACATGTGTGCGTTACATATAACGTAGTAATTAATATTGTTGAGTAATTAATTAAAAATAACGGAATTTATATGCGTATGTGTAGATCCAGAGAGCATAATGGCTAGATTCGTTATATTTTGTAAATATTGATGTTTGCAAAAGATTCTTTATAGACTAACTACTAATCAAAGTTTGTTATAAAGAAAAATCCAATTTTTTGGGCTTTTTCTCAAGATTTTATTTTTTGTAAGCGTAATTTTTTTTTTAATAAAAAAACAGAAAGAAATACCTTCATAAATAAATGTCATTTTTATTAATTATTTGCCAATCAAGTTGCAAGATGATTGCGCATTCTTTGCCCTTCATTAAATATTGCTCGGCCTTCCGGTACTGGCTGTATTTCTCCATTATCCATGTCTTGTTCCATAGCCATAATTGCCTCTTCAGGTTCTGGAGGAAGAGGTATATTTGCACGTATGCACATATTGTGCAGTACTGCACAGGCATTTATTATTTGACCTGCTTTTTCTGGAGCATATTCTAGAGTATGATATCTAAGGAGACATCGAAACCGTTTTTTCAAAACGCCAATGCAACGTTCTACACCATTTCTCACGGTACTGTGTCTTTGATTAAAATGTTCCTCTTGTGTACCTGGCTGCACTTCAGGAAATGGAGTTAACAGCCACGGTTCTAACGGATATTCAGAATCTCCTTAAAAAGTAAAAAAAAGTTTACATTATGTTCAGTAATCTCGTTTTATATTTTACTAATTCAATAAACATTTCAATAACTTAAATTAATAATTACCAAATAGCCAACAATGATTATTATGTGCATGTTGCATCTGTAGAAGATGCCTAACGTATGAATTTCTCCATACAAAGGAATCATGGGTAGACCCTGGATATCTTGCTAATATATTTAGAATATACAAATCCGTATCACATATCTAATAAAATGTAATATAAAAATATACATTATTGACGTTTATTAATTTTTCTGCAATCTGAATCGTTTGTCATTTTTTATCATTAACATTTTTTCTGTTGAAATTAAAATATACTTTATATTTGAATATATTTTACTTATTAATATTAAAAATTGTTTATATTACAAAGTCAAATTACTTACAATTTGCACATGTTGTGCATGATATCCTTTTCTATTAACATACAGTCCTTCATGGTTAACAGGTACTCTTATAGAAACGTTAGTTCCATCTACAAAACCAATTAAGCCTGGAATTCTAGTGATATGATAATTTCTGAAACAGTTTTTTTCTTTTTATTTGCCGATCTCTTATGTAAACACAGAGGATGATGCAGGAATTAGAGATTATAATTTGACCAGTCAAATAATTTTAATTTTAATTTGTTCGTTGATTGATTTGATTGTGAATTGAGTTGATTGATTGAATTGTAATCTTTAATCGCTATCATCAATCTCGAATGCGTAGTATGACATGGGCTTGATG